CTAAGTAAACATTAAGTATTGGTAGTAATTTTTGTGAAACTTTACAAATTTCTTTGATATTTCCATCTGTATAATTTTTTTAATTTATATCATATATACTGCATATGCATGTTAGTTGATTATATTATTATTGGTATTTATTATGGGTTTTCAAATAATTATATATATTTAATTAGTTGTTACGCATATCAGAATACATCTATATATTATTTTATTAGGTATATTGTTAGGACTTGTTTCGGATTTTGAGAATCTCGAGTTTGAAAAAATTTATCCTTCTTTATTATTTATTATATATATTTTTTAAATTTTGAAGTAGAAAAAATTCATTTATAATGTGTATGTTTTTTTTTTTGTAATTATCATTACTTTTAGGCTTTTGAAGCTGTAGATACAAATGCTTCAACATCAGAAACAATTGTTTGAAGGTAGTTTATGATAGAAAATTGGATCTTATTATTAAATTACCACTATTTTAAAACAACTACAAAATTAAAAAAGTGAAGAAAAACTAAAATTTTACGCGAAACTAGTTTTTGACAAAATCAATTTTGATTGATTTTTTTTTGTGATTTAAAAATGAATAACTATAGATATTGAATACTGCGTTTTTTACCAAATATTTATAATTGCATTTTCTAGACAATATAGTATAATTTTCAAAACATCTTAGTTTTTAACTTACGATTTATATTTATAATTTATATATTTACATTTACGTAATACCTACATATTATAGAAGTTAGAACTTCGTGAATAGTGGTAAATTATACTGGTGGGTCGTAAAAACACTTACCTATACTTAAATGGATATTAAATATTAAAGATATTATATTATCATCTATAAAATTGGTAACTAAGTATTTTTTTCAATGATATCTCTCGTTTTATAATTCATATATTCGTATATATTATATAAGATCGAGGCAAAGCTTGTCTAAAAAAAATATTTCATAATAATTATTCATAAGTTTTACCATGTTGATTGTAGACAAAAAAAAAAAAAAATTAAAAACTGATAAATTTGTTATGCTGTACAAAAAAAAATTGTAATCACTATTGTTCGAAGCGCATTCTAACGGATGCGATAAATTCAATCAGACCATATTTGTTTACACCGTCCAGCCGTGCTCAGCGTCCTTCTTTTTAAGTTTATGACAGCTATCTTGCACCGAGGTGAATGCAGCAAAATAAGTACTTTATACCTAGATCGTAGAATCCTTATATTTAAATATAACAAATTATTGACTAGATGTTTGCCTTTAAAGATTTGTATGAAAATGTTGTTTATATCGCTTATTAAACAATGAAAATATCTGTACAAATTTAGTTTTATTTTTTGTTTCATTTTGGTATTTATTCAACCTATCAAAACAATTTACAAGAAATCTCGTTTATACTTCTGTAATAAAATAGGTATAAATTAGGTAAAATAACATTACAACACTGACTAACTTTATATGAAAAGATACGTTTTTAGTGCTTAATAATGATCATAGGTACATAGGTACATAGATTATAATATACTAACATGATATATTATAATTTTATTATGAAAAAACCTATATCTATTACTTTTAACCTGTTTTTATTTATTCTTAATCAACCGGTTTTGGGTTCTTTTCAGTCGATTTGAATTCCAACACGTCGAGTGTAGTATAAAAAAAAAAAAATCCAAAATCCTCCTCAATCGTTTTATGAAATATTAAAACTCAAGTTTTTAACGTAGGCCTACGTGACTTATTTAAACAAAGAAAATTCGAGAATAACATCCAGTTATAGTTGAGGCGTTTATCGTAATCAACATGAAAATATTATTGAAATTTTATAATTGATTACTCGTACAATAATATTACTTTTTCCCGTCTATCATTGGAAATTAATTTCCTTGGGCATATTTTATTGAATTTAACGAAATAGGTTGTGAATACTAAGTTTATAGTTGTATTATTTTTTTTATTATTTAAAATAAGTTTTTCCTTATTAGTTATATGATATTTATTTTGTTACATGTACTTATTAATTATCTAACTATCTAAATAAACAATAATTTTTTTTTTTTTTTTAATCAATAAACCAGACGCACGTAATATTGAAAATTTAAAAGTTTTTTTAAAATTATTAACGAATGTCATCATTATTCCAATTACCATTAGATAATCTAATACAATATAATAAATATAGAAATTACATTAAGCTACCTATTTATACATACGTTTAGATCTTAATTTATTTTTATTTTTTTAACTATAAAATTAACACGGGCGAAGAACAAAAAATAACCAAAATACAATAAAAACACATTGCTTATTAGTTATTAATGATCACTTATGGCTTATCAAAATAATGAATAAGATGGTATTAAATAACTATAAGTATTTCCAGTTAAGTAACACCGATATCAATAAAAGTAATAAATAAACTTAATGAACCATGGATTTTGAATGATTTTTGTTTTTTATCGTTATTAATCTCTAGTCATTAAATTAAATTACCTATGTGGACACGTGATTATAAATTATAATGTAAGATTATTTATATATCTTTTATAGAATCATAAGTTTCTTTTCCCGACAAAGTATTCTTTATTATTTATTTCTGACATATCAGATTACAAGATTTAAGTAAACTAATCTTCCTAAAGAACCTCATACTCTTTATTCATTTTTAATTAATTTAAAAAGAAAGTTACATCGGTATTATAATACAAAATGTATCTTCTACAATTTAATTCTAATAATTCCTAAAAGTTATTTTTGATTCTGAGCAACAAATTTATTGGTTTAATAATGATGTATGTTTATTTTTTGTGTTTGAAAAAACGCTTTAAATTAAAATAAAATAAATAATTTTTAATATTTAGATTTATGTTTGGAAATAAATTAGATTTAATTTTGACTATAAACAATAGTAAAAAATTATTTTAAAATAATAATTAATAAACAAAAAAAAAAACAAATACGAAAATCAGAATTACAAATGCATTACCAGTTTTCAACAAAATTGATTTTACTTTTTCGTTGTAATTTGAAAATAAATGACTATATAGATATTTGCAATATTCCTTTCTATTTAAACTAATATTTTCTAGAAATAATATAATGATCAAAATACTTTGGATTTTTTTTTGATTTACTAAAAAACTTGTAGATAATAATTTTTTGTCCAATGTATGTTGGAAATAATTACTTTACTTTCAAAAGCTTGAAAATTTGAGTTTTTCCATAAGTAACTTTTTTAAATATTAAAAAGAAATGCAAAGTAATTTTTTTTGATAACCATTAAATGTTTCAATTTTAACACAATTTGACAAAACCTCAAATACTTAAAACTCATTTAAGTAATCATTTAATTTTAATAGCTATGATTTCAATGTTAAATTCAAGGTTTCTAAGTATTTCTAAATTAATTTTAAAAATATCAATAATATATTGGTATCCTATATGCACAACATTTAAAAAAAATAATTTAAAGTTAAAATATTAAAGAAATAGGATTTTATTCAAACGAAAAATAATTAATTTTATTAAACCCATGATTTTATTTTGCTATAAATAATTAAAATTTTTCAGTATTACATAATATATTATTATTTTCTATACACAATTTTCAAAATCTTTAGATTCTTTTTAAGTCTCTTTAAACTAAAATGCTATTTATACTATACTAAGATATGTCGGAATATTAACTCATAATTTAATTAAAATATATAATAATATTATTTTTATCATCTACGCTTTTTTTTAATTATTATTAAAAATTAATAAAACATTTCGTAATACTAATAAAAAAAATAAAATAAATTACTTATAATAATACAAGTAAATTATGAAACATATTTTGAAATAAATATTGACACAGTCTTCGTTCAGAATTGTTTTTTGTATGCAATAATTTATCGTTGATTTCAATATAACACTAGTTTTTACAGTAGGCAATCTACTCAAAAACAAAATATACAGTATACACTAGAAACTTTCCATACAACAGAGTTGTTTATCAAATATTTTGCTTAATGAATTTTCATTATTTTTTTTTAATTCCGAAAAAAAATTTATTTGGAAAAATTTATTTCATCGCAAAAATAAGAGGGGAATGACTATTTTTGTTTTATACTTTCCTTAATAGTGTAAACGGTTATCTTTGTTTTTGTAGATTTCTGTTGATTGCTTGGAATATTAGATCATTGCTTATTATTAATTTTTTTAATAAAAATTGTTTAGACGTAAATATTGATAAATACAACAAAATGAAATTATTAAATCGACTATTCCTGAAATCATAAAATTAGGGGCGTCATTCGATTGCGTCCCGTTTCAACCTTTTATACCTTTCAGATGTCGATTGCGTCCACAAGTCGGATAGGTAAATTATTTTTTCTTACCTTTTTATGTTCCGTTTGCGTCCTGTTGTATGATATATAAATATAACATTTTGTAAAACGAATAGCCATTATTAATAATTATTTTAATAATAATAATTATACAAAAACCAATAAAAATAAATCCAAATATATAAGAATAAATAATTTAAAAAACGATATTTAAACTTATCAATTATACGGATTTCCTTATTTTTTTCACTAAAAATGGTATTCATTATTAAGTCTAAACTTTAAAGTATCTTTCGATTCTAAGGCACTTGACGTACTAAATCGCTACATGATCGTAAGTCGATAAGAGTACCAGCCTTAAGATAAAATGTTCGTAAACTCATCAAGTAAAAACCAATTTGTGTTTGAATATACCTCCATACCATGTATGACAAAAATATTAGATTTAATATGTCAATTTATCTGTCACATTAACGCTTACCTATTATACAATAGGACGCAATCAGAACATGGAAAGGTGGGCAAAAAATCGTTTACCTGCATCTGGGACGCAATCGACAAACTCCGAAAATTAGAGTAGTTCTGTGATTTATAGTTACTGTTTTATTAATAAACAATAGCAATGTGATTGAAATATTATGTTTAAGACATACAATTTTTTTTCTAGGAAAAAGTTTGGCTAAAAAGAATGATGTCAACTGATAAGTTCCTTGTACCAGGAAATGAAGAACAGAAAATAAGCAGTGTTGTGTTTGAAGCACCAATGTCTGAAGCAAAAAGTAATTATAAATTTGTTTTCTTTTACAGTAAGAATCATTGGCAGGTAATTTATTTTGTTACTTATATAATGATCATAAATATTTTCGATCGTATTGGTTTATTATGATAGTTATCATTTAATCGTATTTATATTGATTTTATGCATTTTTCCATCGCTTTAAAATGGCAATCAATATAAGTTAAACATAACTCATTCCGAACACATTTTACAAAATATGTTTAGACTTAATTCCGATATCTAAGGGCCCTTGTTAGTAAATATCTATATATATATATTATTATAAATTTGATTTTAAAACATTAAATAAATTAAACAGTTTTTTTAAGTAGATACGAGTTTTGATTTTTAAATGTAATTGTCAAGTTCCGTTACTTTGAAAGAGAAGAGAAAGTCGTTGTTTGATCTTCAATTGAGGCCAATAATTTTATAAGTTTGTTAATGTATAATATTATTTTTAAATAATAAAATGATCAATGATTTATATAACTACTGTAAGTATGTCTAATACGCATTCGAGTAAACTTTTTTTACAAAAGTTTTCAGGCTATCCGTGTTTAAACATATTACATTATTAAGTATTTCTGAAATCCACTTCAAATATCATGCTTTTACTTAAAGGGAGTATTTCTTCATTGCTTAAATCCTCTTTATTATAGTTAATCATTTATTTATCAGTAATATACTCACACTACCTATCAGAAATTATCATGTACAATTAATCAATATTTATACTACAATTCAAACATCTATTTACAATGCTAAGTATCATTTGTTATTGTCTTTAAACTAGTGTGTATTAGTTTTGTAAATCATTGCATATTTGTTTACTCTAATTGTTTTTTTTAACATGACGCACGTAATATAATATATTTTTAAACATGTAAGTTATGGGATAGTTATAGCAATAGGAAACTCTAATTCCCCCGATATTGTCCAAAAAGATATGAACGATAATCCAGTGACGTAGCTATGATTTTGTTCTGGGAGAGATGTATAATTTTATAATTTATAAATATTAAGTCCAAACACCACACCACGCCACGCCATGACTAGGGTTGCCAGATTTTGAAATTACCAAACCGGGACATCATATTGAATAACTTTTTTTTGCTTATTTGATATGGAAATAAGTAGGTATATCCTTCCATTTTTAAATGCTTTGGGGGAATCTATCCCTGTCATGCCTCTCCTCATAACTACACCACTGCGATATTCAAATAGTTATAGACTATTTAGTATACTAGTATTATATAAAATATACAGTTATTGTGCACCATTATTATAAATAAAATTTTCAAGAAATATATTTTTATTCACTCATCTCATAATGTAGTTATTTAAATAAGGTTTTTTGTATTAAAAATGAATTATCTTTTTTTTCATATTCTTCGGCTAAAATATTTCTTAAATTTTGATTTTCTTTTTGCTCTTTTGCAATTTTATTTTGAAGTGTTTGATAACTTTCATCTTTTACTTCCATTTTTTGAATCATAGAAATTAAATCATTTTTTTCTTTTGTTAATAATGTTACACGATCTTTAGCATTTTTTAATTTACTGTTTCTAAATGACAGTTCTCCTAACAAAGTTCTCATTTGTGTTGCACATTCAGACTCTTTTTGTTTTAAAATCTCATTTTCCATTTCTAATATTTTTATTTTCATATCCATTTTATGTTTATGCTCTTCAATAGCCTTCTGAAGTTTATTTTCTGCATTTATTTCTAATTCTTCAAATTCATTTTTTTTAATAGCATTATTTTCTGGATTAAGAATATCATCAGCCACATTTATTATATTTATAAATTTTGATTGTAAATCATTAAAAAAAAACATTTAATTTTGGTTCTAATTTTTCAGCAGTCTGTTCTTTATTAAACATATTTTGTATTAAATATTCTCTAACAGCGTGTAAATCATAGAATTCATTTGGTTCAATAATGTTTTTAAGCCAGAAATGATATTTCATATTCTTTTCAAATACAGTTAAATAATTATTCCATACATATTTATATGCTTCTTTAATTGATGAATCTAACTTTTGATAACCAGTTGTGGAATTAATATCTAAATTTAATAATTGTTTATTATAATTAAAAACAAAAACTGCATGATCTTTTTTAAGTGAAGCTTCTGGTTTTAAGAATGTTTTCCCAAATTTGTCTTGCAAAGTGTTTTGAATCTATTAACAAGTATAAAAATTAAATAATACGAGAAAATCAAAATTGAATAATAAATTTTATCATGGGCAACCAAATTAGTAAAAATAAATCGTACTTACTATGTAATCAAATTCTTCAAGTTCTCCAAAGTCTGAAATGTTATTATTATTAGATAATGAATCCTTTATAAATTTTTTGATCGATTCGTAGCTTGTTTTTAATTCATTATATGCTGTACTGAATGCAATCTGTTGTTTTTTGTAGTTACCAAGTTTCACTTTGTATGTTTTTTGACAAGTATTGCTTTTATGTTTCGTTTCTAATCTGCTGGTATTTAAAGACGTAACCTTTTTTATAATATTTTTATCGTCTTCTAATATGTTTGAATCATGTAATTGAGTTAATTGATCGTTACTAACAGTTAACTTTAAAAGTCTATTTTCGTTTTTATTGGAACAATTTTGAGACATATTTGGCATTGTTAAATTTTATTTCGATAAAATATGATTAATTAATGTAATGTTTATAATAACTTTTAATTTTATTTCATAAACAAAAATTATTATTTTTTATTTATAACATAGCTACGTAAATATAATTCAAGCCAATATATTATATACATTTTTAGATTTTGAGTGGAGCGATAATGAAAGTTTTTTTAATTTGTTTACAGTATACACGATAAATAGTTGAAAAAAATCAACTTTGAGGGTGATTTCTCATAAAAATGTTAGTCTAATTTGTACTTTTGAGAGTCAAGGTTAACATTATAAATTCAAAATAATAGAGTAAACAAAGAAAAATTAAAGAATAACAGGAATTTTTATGCAAAATAAATTTTTTTTTTTTTTTGATAACTCAAAACTTATGAGTTATGACTCTTAGATATTTTATATTTATCCCAAATATTTATGTTAACATTTTTTACACATCGTATAATTTTTGAAATATTTTTATTCTTTTTAAGTTGTTTATAGACATTTGATATTTTCCATTTTTTCTCTGGATCAATATGTTTGAAAATTTAATGCAAAGTTCTTCATAAGTTGTTCATTTATCAATTAAAATATATCAAAAATATAGACTACTTTTTTTTATAAACGTTTAAATTTAGAATTTTTACAATTCTTTATCGTTAGAAAACTTCAGTGTGTGTAAGAACTATTCATTAATCGTTTCTCTTTCTATTATGTTGTCCAAAAATTATATATGTATTTAACATCAATGGCAACAAGTATCTCTTAAATTGTGAGGATTGTCGACCATAGATATTATGATCATATAAAACGCGTCGCGTACGTATAATGAGGTAATCTTATAACATATTTCGATTAGATCAAATAAAATAAAAAATGAAATCATTATATTATTATCTATAAGTATTGATTATGATTTTAATGATAAATGCTATATTTTATATTGATAATTAAAATTAAATAACACGTGTGGCATGTGGATTGGTAAATTGGTTAGTGAATAAGGTTACCTTACTCGATTACAAGGGATCTTCATAAGAAAAAAATTGACGAATCAGTGTTCTCAAAAAAAAATTCATACATTTTATTAGATTTTTGAATGCCATGTTACTTGTTAATAGTTGTTATAACTTAACAACAAATATTTATTAATACACGTAATGCCATTAATAATTAATAATAAATTATTTAGGTAATAAAGTATTAATTATTGAAAACAAATATATTATTTAAAATTAATATTTTATCGATATTAGCTAGAGTAGCCAGTAGGTAATACTTATGTTTCAAGTACTAAACTTTAGTATTTATTATAATGTAGCATATAGGATTAAGATTTTACATATGTATGATATAAGAAAAATAAAATAAATACATTTTTTTTATTTAAATGTCTTTATATTGTATGTTGAATGATGTAAATAATTAAATGATACTACGTGCGGACTGTGCTACTATTCATCTGCACAATGACCAGTTTCATATTATATCATTCAGGCCAGTATAAAACAATCAGATGTGTATGGTATTGTTGAAATAAGATTTTGTCAATAAATAAATCTAAAATTAAAAAGCAAAATGTTTTTGTACGTTGGGTTCTCGTCCGCCTCTGACTACAAGGCTAGAACGTTACCCATCTAAAGCGTACTTTTCTATGATAAAACATCGTATGTTCGATGTAAATTTATATCACGTATCCACTGCGTGATACATCTTAAATAATTTATTTAACAAAAATATATTATTAGAAATAGAATTATAGTTGATATTTTAAAAGCTATACAAACGATCATAAATCAAATACTTAATACAATTGAAAATATAGTGTGGCATAATGGCGTTACTAGTGTATCATGTTTTAATATTTCTAATTTTACCATCCAAGTTAATTTTTTTATAACAGTATTCATTATCCTATACTTAACATACATTTTACATGTCCTTTATGGTTCATAATCCATATCATTACAAGATTACAGTCAGGAACTCCAAACAGTGTTATAAATGGATATATGTGTTACGACTGTTATGTACTTCTGTATATAATTATTGCACTACATTATATCGGGCATTGTTTGAAAATAAAAATAGAAACTTATTTTTCATTGTCAATTGATATTATTTGACATTTGTCTTTTATAATACTTGATTGAACTTAATCTGATAATTTATTACACTTACTCATTTTAAAACTAATTCTATGTTGTAGAAACAGCAAATTATGAAAATATAGCTATACGTTCTATAATAATAGCTAGGTACTTAATATACTGTATGTCACATGAGAGAATTATATCAGTGTTTCTTAACTTTTTAAGAACACGGAAAATTAAAAAATAATTTTTTTTATGAAGAAGTAATA